GGGGGGGGGGGGGGCAAGCAAAGGCACCTCTGTCGTCATCAACTTCTGGCAAAGGCTTGCTGCACGGTTTGGGTGCGATGAATCTGCAACGAAGCGCCGAAGGTACCTCGAGAAACTGGCTTGCCATTCATTCCTGCTGCAGCCCCCTACCCAGCCGAGTGTGAGACTTCTTGCTGAGGACAGCAGGGTGACTTAAGTGACTCGTTTTGTTTAGGCCGGATCCAAGTTTGGGTGCCGGCTTCAACCCGGGTGACAAGATCTCGCCCGCTGCTTTGAGTAGAAACAAGATCGTTTGGCGTTTCGGAAGTCTGTGACAGTGCAGGTACTGGGATCTGAGCTGCGGAACTTGGGTCAGCGGCTTCGTGAAAGAGTCGAGTCCCAAGTAAGGACAGTGTAAGGACTTGAGCTTTCAAGAGTTCATGTCGATAGACTGCCCTGACCATGCAATGTACGCGCCTCTTTCTTCTTTGCTTTGATCTTCTACAGATGGGGCTTTACCGACGAATCATGCCAAGATCCAACACCCTTCAGTCCGAGGGTGGGCTGAAACCTGGCTTCACTCTTCAAGAAAGTCTTCCCGGCTTCCTCACACACTCATGCCGTGTCGGAACGAACGGATGCTAGTCATGGCATCGAAGTGCCGCATGAATACCAGCGGCGCAGCCGCCGACAAGCGTGCTCCATGCTGGTCCAAGTTTTTTCGAGCTCGAGTTGTGGATTAAGGCCGAAGCTAGTTGGCTTGTCAGACGATATGGAGATGGGCATGTTTTGTTGGCCAGCACGCCCTGGCGAGAGCCAGTCCTGAAAGTGGCGTGGGTGGCTTCGAATCAGACCAATTCAATGCGCAGCGAAATTCTAGTGGACATCCAAAGCCTCCTCATCATGCGTGCAGGCGGTAACGTTGTAACTGAGGAGGGCTTGTTTCGGCTTTCCAGGAGAGAAGGCATCAAGGCTGTCGACAACCTGCCGTTAAGCACGGGATGTATTCACAAGTCCTTTGCAAGGTCACTTCTACTGCCCTCCGTCCAGTCCCGGCTTCTGAAGTTGAATGAAAGTCAGCTGCCCGAAGACACCGGTCAAGGATATGCAGACTCGAGTCGATGAAGGTGCCCTCGAACCGGTGCTCGCCCCTCGTGACTCTGTACCTCAAATTAACTCTCTTGTCCTCTTCAGCGGCAGTTGGGGGAAGGTGACAACGCCAACCCCTGCCGCATACCCCTCCTGCCACGTCCCTGCGCTACAGCTGTTCGGCCACAAGACGCGGCCACAAGACATCATGACCGAGGAAGGCATCATGAGTCATGGGTTTGGGGTTCGTGCTCTGCGACAGTGCAGGCCGACAGGCTTTGCTTTCCTTGGATTTGAACACCGGGGGCACTCAGGCGAGTCGTTGACGGTCAAGGTGACGTGGCAGTTGCCTACCACTTGGATGTTCGTGGCTCAGTATCGCAGACAGTGAGCCTCCGTGTTCTCCAGTCGTGCTTCCAGATCAAGCCGTCGGCCAACCCACAGCACGTGCGGCGTCGGCTGAACGAGGAAACCGTGGCCGCGAAGGCACGACCGGCAAGCTGGGTCTGTTTCAAAGGAGCTCGACTTCCGATCTGTCCTTAGAGCCATGAATCGTCTCAGCCCGTCAGCCCGAATTGTTGTGAGAGGCAGGGACTGTGTCTTAGGGAGCATGGAAGTCGGGTGTAGCCTGGGAGGGGTTGCATGACAGGCAGTCGACTTGATCCGGAGATATGTGCCCCTCAAGGCTGACATTGGTGATCTGCGCCTCTTCGGATTTCTGCTGTTCAGAGTGCCTGGTCAGGCTGATCGTGCCCTCCCGGGCGATTTGATGAGAAGCATGCAGAGATGCTACTGGAGCTGTATCCAGCAGGTGCGACATTGCTTGCCGTGTGGGTGGCCAGTGTAGTTTCGGGCAGGCACCACTGGTTTTTCGACCAGTCATGACGCAGGGAGCTTGGGGCAACATAGTGTGCTCCTTCGAGTGCTGCCCAAAGTGATCCGAGGCTTCCCCCACAACCAATGGTCATCAACGTCCCTGTTGGTCCGAGCCCTCCCACAGCATCACGCCCCCAGTCTCCACAGCCGCAGTCCAGCAGTAGGCCCAGGAAGACGTCATCCTCACATTCAAACCCGGCGGCACCATCGCCAACGATGAGACCTGTGCCCGTCTTTGGCCACCCGCCTCAGAGCGTAAGCCCAAGCCCGGTCCAGATGCCTGCCGCCGCCCCGCAAAATTTGCCGGTCTTTGCCTTTCCTCAGAACCGCTCTGGCGGGCAGCTGCCGGTGTTTGCCTTCCCCGGCCGTGAACCTGGGCAGCCCGGTCAGCCCCCTTCGTCGCCGAGCGCTCTCCCCATCTTTGCGCCCTCTGGCGGACTTGCCGGCCTTGGCGCTGTTCCTGGCATGGCCCTGCCGCAGCAGCTCACCCCTCGCACGCCTAGAACGCCCCGCGACGAACAGACGTCGCCGACGGCACAAGTGGCCTCTTCCCCTTCTTCACCCTCCCAGCCACCTCAGGAGCCAGTGCAGGAAGCGCAGGACAGCGAAGTGGAGTGGATGAACTTGAGGAAAGGCATCACCACATCCACGGAAGGGTTCGCCAACGAGGAGGAGGGTCTCAAGGAGGCGGGTCTTCGTTTCTCACCGCGAGCCGACGTGTCTCTGATAACTCAACAAGAGCATTGGTAGCCTTTGAGGTGTTAAGCCCCGGCGATGAATCGATTGACTTCGAGGAGTTCTCGGACATCCGCAACTCGGACGGTGCGGGCCCGGGATTGCAGGATTGGAAACCTCTCCAAGTTTCTTGCAGGTTTTCACGATCTGCGGCCATTGCGGCTCACGAGGGAGATGCCTGGAGTCACCCTGTATGTCAGAGCGGTACAGTCGAGAAAGCCACACCGGCACAACTAGGCTTGTCTAAGAGGTGTTTTGTTCACTCAAACTGCCCTCCTTGAGCTTGCGGAAGATGGCCATAATTCTGCTAGCATTCCTGGTCGTTCGCCAGCTGGCACCCGTAGCCGCGAATGATGACTCAGCTTTCGTGCAACTGCTTACTAGCAGGACGGCGGAAGTGCAAGGGAGGCAGAACCCGAGCTTTTCTGCATATCTTGACTTCACCCTGGCGGATGCTGCGAGAGCTTGTGGTGCAGGGATGTGGGGAGGTTCAAGCGGAATAGACGAAAAGGCTTGGGACTGTATTTTTCCAAAGCTTGACCTTGACGGCGATGGTAGCATAACTCCAAGCGATGTCGCGAAAGCTTCATGGCTGCAGGGCTCTGTGCTAGTGAAGCGTTTAAATATCTCAAAGCAAGACTGCAGGGAAGCTACGGCATTGCTTGCTACATGGTATCCCAAGCTGGCACCCTTCCTCGTTCGGCACGCGCAAGAAGTGCTTCTCAGTGCATGGACTGGTGCCAAGCCATTCGAAGCGCCAGAGCCGCGTGAGCAAGACCTTGCCTTGGCTGCGTACAGCGCCGGGAGGTCTCATGAGCTTTCTGACTGCCAAGAAGCACTGCTGGAGACAGTCCCGCCCGTCCTGAATCTCGTGACATCCGTCATCGGGCTAAGCCTCCCGCATTCTGCGGCCGAAGCGCTTCTAAAGCGAGTGAGCCTGGATGTTTCGTTTCTGGCAAAGGTGCACGTAGTAGTCAGCGAACTCGGTGGACCCGACAAGATCCTAAGAAACACGGAGGCAACGGCGAGCTTCGTCTTCCGGATTGCCGCCGAGCTCTGGAACGACGGAGTCCTGGCTACTGCATTGGACGAGATAAGACTCTCTATGAGTTGGTGGGATTGGGTCTCCACCGCTGTTCCAATGATTGCGTCGCTGAGCAGTTTCTTTCTAACAGGCAGCACCCTCAATTTGGTCATTGCCTTGGGACTCGGCGGAGTAAACGTTGTGAACTTGGGCAAAGCCCTCACCTCCACGGCACAAGCCTGTGAACTCACATGAGAGACGGTGCCCGGTGCAATGTCACTCTTGACTCTGGGCTTGCAAAGAACAAGTCCAACATGCTTGAAGAAATTGGTTGCAAGATGTAGAGCGATGCGATGATGCGATGATGCGATGATGCGATACGATGATGCCATGATGTGCCAAGATGTGCCCATGGCCCCTTTGACTTTTCTCCGAGGCTCCATCGGTGTCTTGATGGCTCCAGGCCAGAGCCGAGTCATGCTCTGAGGCGCGTGCGCCGCATGTGCGGCGCTTCGACTTATTCTTGCTAGGTGGTGTTGCCCACCGGCTTTCGAGCGCACGGGAGTGGGGCCGTGGGGCTGCTGTGCTAGGCAGTAGTGCAACAAGATATGTGGTAGCAGTCTGTGAAATCAGCACCACTGGTGGGATCGAAAGCACCGAGACCGCTCGACTGCTGAGCAAAGGCATGGGCACATGTTTCCCGACTTTGCAGAGTCACTTTCACCGCACGCTCTGAACGGAGCTGCGGAGCAGGTGAAAACAATCCGTGAAAGTGTAACCGGTGTAACCGCTTTACCGCCGGGCCATGATTGGCCTTTTTGGGCGGTGTAACCTGGGTCCCCAAAACCCTCGCGCCCGCAGAGCCGGCCGCAGCCTTGGGCGGCGCTGGTGTCGGCGGGCGCAGGGCCTTCCTAGGCCACGCAGAAAGATGCACTCTTTAAAGCATCGCGATGAAGCAACCAGATGAGCCAAAAGCGTCAGCTTAGCAAATAAATGCTACGTCTTGCGGGGGGAAGACCACGCCAAAGCCCCTCGCTGCACCTGGCAAATGGGTTGCTGCATCCAGTGGCTAGCGACACGGCTGTGTCTTCGTAACATATTGTTTGTGTGCAGGAGCAGCAGCCGGTGCGAATTGTCCATGAACAGGTTTGTGGATGTTGGCATCGAATTTGCCCGACAAGCTGAAATTTTTGTCCTGCAACCTGTTCCCAAGAAATGCATTTCCGAAGGAAATCAAATTAGGTGGAGAAATTTGAGGTCAGGAGCTGTCGCGAATGAGTGCTGATGGAGAGCTGCCTTTCCGGAAGCCTGGCAAAGCAGGTCGTATTGAGTCTTCTGAGTCGTCTATGGAGAACTGTTCGGCATCTCATGCTCCAAATTGCTGGCAGCCGGCATGATGACACATGGCACATGGCCCTGTGCATCCTTGTGCGACAGCGTGGCTTTCGCTGTGTGCTCCGCCCTTTCTACTCTCCGCTATCAACATTATGGCTGTATCCGAAAAGACTGACTTTATCTTTTGCCCAGCACGTGGTAGATGATCCTCCGGCTATCGTGCCTGCGCAGTGTCCATCGATGCAGCTTGCTTGCCGGATGCGAGATTTCTCCGTGAAGTCCGATGCGTATGGCTCGTGTGCTCCTGTAGCTTTGTCAACATGCTGGCTATAGATGACGCGGAAATGTATTGGGGCTGGCCTTTTTTTGAGATGCTTCCTAATTGGGAAGAACCTCGTGCGCGGCAGCCCAGTCGGTTGACAATCCCATGAAAGCTGGGTTTGTTACTCATCTGCATCAGAGCCAGCCAAGGCCCTGACAGAGCCAGAAGTCCTTTGGTATGTGGAGCAGGTGCACAAGAAGGCTGGGCATGAAAAAAGCCGCCTCCGTGCATATTTGCATGCTTCGTGACATCGGCATTAGATCTTTCAAACATGATGCACTTCGCCACAATCGCAAGTGTCCTAAGACTGATGCTGTTTGACTTTCGCCTCACGGCTCCAACCGACAGCTTGCAGGCCAGGTGGCAGAAGAAAACGGTGGTTTCTTTCGTGCGTGCCGGTGTCCTCAGCTATGCTACCGAACCCTGCTGTCCGTCGAAGCGCAAAGTCTCCGGATCTCCAAGGACATGTGGGAAGCAGTGTCTTGCTGCTGCCCTTCCGGCCCATTTGCGGAAGAAGAACTGCGCATTTGAGGGTGGGAAGCCTACAAAGACAGTCGTGGCCCTTCATTGTGTTCAGCCGTTGGGCGAGCAGCCTGCCCTCGACTGTTTGACGGGAGGTCTTCATCATCCTGTCGTCGATCCTCATGGCTGCCATGCGCCCGGTGGATGCAGCAACGCAGAGTCAGAGGGAGAGGAGGGGAGGGCAGCGTGTGACGGAGCGAGCCGCGGCAGGCTGCAGACAGCTCAGTCCCGGACAGCATGGAGGCCTTTCCGTCTTGCCCGGCCTCTTGCCACCCTGTCCGTGGCCCATGTGTCTGTGCATCGATGCTTCTGCAGGACACGGAAGTGGGGCCGGCGAGCAAGCTGCCGATCCCCGACGAGCTCTACGACAAGTGCCACAGCGCCGACCAGAAGGAGGCGGGAGCGGGAGAGCCGAAGCAGAGGGGAGAGCGGAGAACGTTTCGGCTGCTTTGATGCTTCGCTTCAGGCCGAGAGCTCGGAGGCTGCGAGCCAAGCCGCCATGGTGGCCACGAGAACCGGGGCCTCTCTGCCGCCGACACGGGAGAGTCGGCCAGGACGCTGCACCCTCTTAGCGAGAGCCCATCCCCTCTCTCGCCAAATCCCAACCGCCACGTCTGCAGGAAGTGCGCCTATGTCACTGCTGAGACCCCGAAAGCCACGGTGATCCAGGTGAGCTGCGTTTTTTGCCCGCCTTTTTACGGAAGTGTAAAGCTGGACACAAAACTTTCACTTGATCTCGAAATCTTGCTGGGACTGTGCGCGCGGAAGGACGCGGAAGGGCTGCGGAAGGCGTTGCTCCGCAGAAGGGCGGAAGCACCAAATACGTAAGTCGCGGCGCCCAAAGAAGACATGTCTCGACCGAAACATACAATAGTGCTTGAACCAGCTAATGTTGTACTCTTCCGGGGTTCAGGTCTGCTTCCAGGAATCCCGAGGCATGCCCAGGAATTGTTGCAAGATAAACTATATGGTGCCCGCATTCGCTGAAAGGAGTTAACGTAATACGTCAAGTGGGGTTTATGCTCTTGCGGAAGGGTTCGCTCGCAAAACGGTCCGCGGAAGGGCACGCGGAAGGGACGACATGAAGTGACTCGGAAAAGTGCCAACGCTTCGAGGCGCGGAAGGCTGTGGAAGCAGTGGCGGAAGGGTTTTGCGGAAGGGGTTTTTGCGTCCTTAGGATTGAAACAGAATAAACAACACCGCTCAGGTGGTATCGCATCAAACTTGGGCAAGTTTGAGCTGCCCATATGGAAGGCAACGGCAGACTCGGCTGTAGTGAAGCTCCGATGTGAGAGCGAAGCGAGCGACGAGGGCCTAGGGATTGGCCTTGTGAGCCTCAGCAGCGTCCTGGGTGCGCCTTCGAGCGATTGGACGATCAGAGAGTTGAAACGCAAGCCATATGCCGCAGCTTTGTTGCTGCTGAGCGTACCTGTACTGAGCAGCAACGTAGCTTTCGGACTGCAGCTGTCTGTGGCACTTGGCCAAAGAAGCCTTTTCGTTGCCAGCAGTGCTTGCGACACTCTTGACTGCACACCTTGTTTTTCGCGACGGCACTGTTGAGTTCAAGAAGTTGGCGTCGCGGCAGTACCTCATCTGCGTCCTAAACGGCATCATCGTAGCCTCAAAGCCAAAGCATACACTTCAGGCCTTGGCTGTTTCCAGGATGAACTTATCGATTTTTCATTGTCATGCGCTTTGCATTGCTTTGGCTGGCCATCTTTGATGCGATTTATTCCCTCAAGCTGCCTGGACTCAAGGCCATTGGCATCGTTGCGGTACTACTTTTCTCCGTCAGCATCACTTCGGACTGAGGCATTGAGGTGACCACGGAAGGAGTCTTGTTGGCGCTGGGCTGTGCCAAGCAGATGCCGGCTCCGACATCGCCTCTGATGTGATTGGGTCAAGCTTCACTACTGGGCTCCAGGGAAAAGCACGTAATTGTGAGCTGAATCGGTATCTGGTGATGCAACAAGTTTGCAGCATACCTTGCTACTTGCTGGCTGCTTCGTCCATCGGCGATCTTTTGATCCTATTTCGGGGCTTGATGCCACTGTCTTCCTTCTGGCATCATAGCCCCTGGTTCTAAAGATCCCCGTGTTTCAGTTTGCTACTTTCACAGCCGGTGCAATAAAGACGAACATGGCCGCATCCTTCGCGATGGGAGTTTCATATGTCTTCGAGGACTGCTTCGGTTTGGCGAAGTTAAACATGAGCCGATTCTTTCGCAATGATGGCCTTTGCATGCGTCCTTCTGATGGATTCGCTACGTACTTCACACCTGGATGATGCATGTGCCACGCAGCACAGGACGACCTTGCAAAGAGTCCGACGAGAAATGGAGAGATCTTGTGACCCAACCTCATAGGTCCAAGACGGCATTGGGGACGGGAAGTGAACATCCTTAGGACCTCAGGAATGCTTACGGGACCTATCCAAGCTGAAGAATACTGCAGGCGAAGATCTGCGAGCGAGAGAGTAGGGGCTTCATGGCAAAACCTCAAATCAGGAAGCGGTTACTATTACTACTAAAATTACTTGTGCTGTGCCATTACCTTAGCTTGCCATGACCATTCCTGTTATTAGCACTAGTAGTGTTACTGTACAAGTACTATGGCTATCGCGATTGCCATTGTCATTGAGAATGCTGCTCCAATTGGCATCACAAATACCTGCCGGGCTTCAAGGACTCCAGGCTCGTTGTGCTGCACGAAGTCAAGCACGCACGAACGCAAGCACGCAAAGCACGCAAGCATGCCAGCAAGAACTGTTTTGTTGGTAACTTCACTAACCATGATGAAGCCGAGCCTCCCTCACCTCCGGCTGCGGAGCCGACCATGCCCTCGACCATGCCTCCGCCGAAGCCTCAGGCTTGACCTGCCAAGCGAGCCAGAGGGCCCGTCGGGCCCGTTGTTTATGACTTGAGGTGGTGGCAGCGGCTGTACCACCTCGTCACCATTCTCCTGCAAAGCTGCCAGTGCCAGCACGACGACTGAGGCTGGATTTCAGGGCTGTATCCTTGCCTCATTCGTCGTATTGCTCACTGGCCGTCTGGCGACATCTGGCAACAACACAGAACTCAGAGGATACAGGTCACTATGCCAGTCTTATCGCCTGCTTGACTTCACCATGACGCTGAAATTGCGTGCCTAGCTTGTGTAATAAAGTCGCAGAGCGACCAGATTCCAGCATGTTCGGGACTGCAGTTGGTCATGTGCCCTAGATTTCTAATCACTGCTTTCCAATCCTGGCTTGTTGCGTCTTCTGGAGCCTAGAGGCATGCAGCATTGCGAGCGCGAGCTGCACGAGCCCAAGGCGGATCTCATTCGCAGCTTGATGTCTCGCGTCCGTGGCTGTGGACGAAGCGTGCTTTGTGGAGGACGACGGCAAGGAGATTGCATCCATTATGGGCATCTGCCGTGGCGTTTTCGTGTCCAAGAGAAGTGGGATGGCGGAGAGCAAATTGAAGGAGCTTCGAAACCAAGCTGGGGCGATGGCTTGCATGCTGTGGAGGCCGAGGCAGTGTTGAAAGTGGTGGCAAGGCCGCAAGCAGCGCCCTCACCACCTTCGTCAGACGGTTTCAGCGGCGTCCGCAAAGCTGGAGGCAAAGGCGGATCGCCGGCCAAGGAACCTGTGCCATCTGCGCTGCGCGCAGGCTTCAGTGGCGTGTTCAAGTCAGGCCGACTTGAGCCAGCTGCAAGACCTGCTGCAGCACTGAAGGCAACGGCATCAGCACAGTGCCCGGAGAGAGCACAGGGCAGGTTGAGCAGTGTGCACTTGATCCCCGTCTTCGAGCAGCTCGCCGGGTGGGAGCTGGGCGTGGATGCGCCTCACGCGCTGTCGGAGCACGGGCAGAAGATGCCAAATGCATCGCAGGTCACCTACCAAGACAGCAATGACACGGTGGCTCTGTGTGCTACAGGAAGAATGCGCTCGTTTTGGACGGCATGCGCTTTGGGAGGACAGATGTTGTGCAAGTTCTGAGACTGTGATGGCAACGTTTTCATGCATGGCTGCACTCTTTCTTTAGGTGTTGAAGCATGAAGTCGCCTCATGTGCTGCCTTTCAACACTGTCTATCGTCGAGCGACTGAGGCCTAAGAAGAGATGCCGGTAGCGAGACAAGTCTGTGTGTTCCAGTCTAGACAAAGTAAATGTCCTCCGGCCACGTTGGTCATCTAGTTCACTGGCCATCGGGCCCATCTGGCATTCATGCCCAATTCGCAGCATGAGAGCAGCAAGCTCAGAGGACACATGTCATATATGCAAGTCTGGCCACCCCGTCATCTTTTGATAGAATCGCAGAGCGAACAGACTCGGTCAGACTCGGTCACTTTCAATGTGGCCCCCCCGTGTCTGGTTCTCGGTCGGATGTCTGTGCTTTCTTGAATGCCGTGGACTGCGTTTGTCCGATTCCGGCCCACAGTGTTGCATGTTGAATCAGGACCTGCGCGTGTGGGGCAGCTGAACAGCTTCTTTTCGAGCCTAAAGGTGTCCGGAGCGCAGCTGACCATCATCACCAAGGGCAATGTGGGGGCCTGCCGATTCCTGGAGCACGAAGGCCTGTTGCAGCATTTCGAGAAGGTCTTTGGGACTCTACGGTAGATTCTACGGCGAGTCCGACTTCGATCTGCCAACCCGGAGCCGTCGTCGCTGGAGGGCAGCTCTGATTGCGAGCTGCTCGAGGCGAGTCCACCAAGGCGAATCTCATTCGCTGCTGGGGATCTCTCGAGGTCAAAGCGTGCGTGCTGGCGGACGACGCCAAGGAGATGGCATCCAGGAGAGGCATCCAAATTTACGTAGTTACATCGGGCAAGCCTGATCAGGAATCATCATGCATGGAGAACGAGAAAAAGTGCCGCGTTTGGCAGGGAAAGGGCGGGCAAAAAAGCTTCCCGACCCTCCGAGTGCCTGACGGAGAGCGAGTTGAGGGCCGATTCGACGCTTTGGGACCTTTGTCCGTAAGTTGGTAAGGTGTTTGCTTGATTAAATTACTTGGAAGTCTTAGCATAATCATACACTATTCAATAACATTTCTCAACAATGGTTCAAAACGGAAAGCTTAGGGTTTAGGTCATCAAGACGGATTGCTCCCACAACATGCGAATCCTTTCCAGACCCATCATGTGAGAATTGTGTGTTCAGACAGAAGTCCTGTTTTTTTCCGCCCTGCGATCTTGCGTTACACACCACATCGAAGTCGCATGAGTGTAGAAGAAGCTTTTCTTCCGTTGACGCTCTTACTGTTGGTTCGTTGAACCAAAGTGACCCGCGCATTTCGGCCACAAAGATATTACTCACAAAGCCACACCACCCAAAGCAAACTGGGCACAGATGCAGCCTGTTTACGTCACGTGTACTTCCAACACTAGTGCGTGCAAACACAGAGACTGCACTTTCAAGCCTCGATGATCGATGCCTGCTAGCTGATCGTTCTATTCTGACCGTGTCCGGGGCTCAGAACCGTCAATCAGGACAAGCTTGCAGTGTTGCGGTACTTCTACGCCCTAGCAGGTTCTTGCAATTCCATGACTGCGCCAAGAAAGCGAAAGCAGGCAATGAGGGCAGCGGGCAGCTCGCAATCAAAAGGTCAAAACTGCCACAGTCACTGCCCCTGGGAGCTGTTGTGGCTGCCAGTCTTCCTCATCCTCTTCCTCAGAAGACAAGAGAGCCAGGTGCCTGCTTGTGTGGGATGTCCTAGAAACGTGCCGAAGTGCGGCAGTGCTTGCATATTTCCCTATGCGGCAGGAAGGCATCCCCCAAGCCCCGGGCCAAGCTTATATTGCCTGCCTGTCCACCGATGAAGCAAAGTCACGAAACAATTACATGCTTCTATGTTTTCCGGTCTCGCGGTTACCTCTAGCACCCATGGCGGCGAATTGCTGCGTTGTCGCCTGGCTGGTAGCCGATTTCACGTTGAGGCCAGCCCGTGGTGTGCGGCAAGCCTGAAGCCCGGGCCGCCACAGTCGGTTTTATTTGTTTATGATTGTCGTGCAAGCATGGAACAAAATCCACCCTTCGAGGTAAGTGTTACGCCGTCACCATCCCCGGAACCTCCCCCACGCAACTTGACAGCACTGTCAGTGTGTCAGTCACTGCGAGCGCGTCAGTGTGCCTGCCCTGAGCAGGCTTCGTGAACCGACCCGCCGGAGCCCTAAAGTTGAGTGCCTGATCTAGCGTGATCTTCGCGTGATGGTCCCGCGAGAGTTCGAGCGTGGCAGTGGAGTGAGTTCAGGTGGAGAGCAAGCGTCTCTCCGAGTCGCCCGTCAGGAGCGGGCGCGCTGCGTGCTCCGCGCGCGCTCGCTCTCTGTGCGCTCCGAGACTCCGGCCCTCAGCTCCGTTTCCCTTGAGGCGCTCGCCGGAACGGGCATCGAAGGGCAAGGGCAAAGGCACGAAGTGGCGCTGAGCTTTGGTTGGTACTGGGTGCTGACCCCCTGCAGGCGAGGTTGATACTTGGCGAGCTGACTTCGAAGAGGCCGCCCCGACACTGTCAATGTCATAGAGTCGTACGTCTACCATGGTACGGTCAGCGTTTGCTAGTTTGCTGCGTTAGTCTATATGTCTTCATTCACTTTCCTTTTCTCTCCGTCTCTCCCCCTCCTTGTCGCAGTTGCCCAACCGCTCCCTCTTGGCTGTAGCAGCATTGCCCCATGGTAGCCCTGCACCAGCTGGGGATGACCTTTCCGGGATTTTTGACGGAGCTTGGGAGGGCAAGGAAGTCACTGGTCAGAGCGGCTTTACCGTAGACGCAGACGTCGGACTTCGCCCTGGCAAGGCCTGGCTCTTGGATCGCACTGCGATGAGAAGCAAAGCTTTCTTCTCCTTCCTGTGCCAGCCCCAGACGACCCAGACGAAGATTTCTTCCCCTTGTTTTAGCCCTGGCCCTTAGGACGATGTACCCCCGCTCTCCCTCGCCGCAACGGGAGAAGGAGCCGGAAGCGGAGGCACATGCTTCCAGCTGTGGCCCCGGTAGTCAGATATTGATCCTTGTGAGTCAGGCTCCAGCTCAGATGACAAAGGCCACCCTCGGACATGAACGAAGTCTGTTGATGCAACAGAGCTTGTTGACGTGGTGCGTAGGAGGCCGCATGCTTCCGATTCGAAGTGAGTCAGCTTGCCGACAGAGCGGCACAAGTTGGAACATGCATTACCGATCAACTTGCACAACGGGGTTCGGATGGCTCATAGTTTTTGTTGGAGGGTCAAGGTTAAGCGGCTTCAGAACCTCGTGTGGGCTTATTCGCACTGCCTTGGCGCAGCTTAGTTGACATCAGGAAGAGCAGAAGCGCAATGACCGCTTCCAAGACAACATCAAGAAGGCGTGCAGTCAGGGCAGACTATCCAGAGATTGGTGGCGCCTCGTTGCAGGCAGTGAAGACGGAAGCCAAGGATTGGAGTGCAGTCATGCTGGGAGTCGCAGCAGGGCTAGAAAATGCGATCTGTGCTAATCTTTCAGGAGCTTAAGAAGATAGAGAAGGAGAAAGGCAAGGAGATGAAGGGCACAGAGCCGGAGGAGAAGGCGCTGCGGCCACAGCGCCATGTTGGTGCCGTCTGCCTCATCGGTGTTCCTGTGAGGACGACAAGAAAGAGAAGAAGGACAAAAAGGACAAGGGGAAAAAGGATAAGAAAGGGGGCAAGGAGGACGCAGAGGAGTCAGCCGAAAAGCAGGACAAGAAGTCCAAGAAAGAGAAGAAGGAGGAAGCCGAAAGGAAAGAGGAAGAGGAGGAAGACCGCAAGCAGCAGCACAAAGATAAAAAGGTCAAAGAGAAGGCAAGCGACGTGGTCCAAACGATGTTGCCACTGCCGCTGCAACAGGGTTTACAGCTTCGCTGGTGCTGTTGCAATGCTGCTGCCCGCTAGATTTTTCGTTAAACTGCTTCCTGAAGACTCTGGCTGGTATGCTTGCCTGTGCTTCTCTGAAATGCACAAACTTATGATATTATGACAGCAAAAAATGTCCGGATTTGACAGGAGAAGGAAAAGGAGAAAGCCAAGGGCAAAGACAAGAAGGACGTCTCTTCACTCCAACAAGCGGCAGCCAGCGCATGTCCGCCATGCAGTGCCCAGGATTCGTAGATTTCCTGATCTCCAGCAGCACAGGAGAAGAAAAAGAAGAAGAAAGAATCTTCGTCATCGTCTTCACCTTCTAGCGACGAGGATCCTGTCAGACAGTCTTGCTTCTGTGAGTTTTCGGACAAGCACGTGCTCTCTGAGGATGCTGATAGCAGCTCCGGAGAAACTGTCATGGAGGAGCAGGTGCGTGCTATGGTGGCTTCGACTGCAGAACGATCAGACGATCGAGTCGTGTTCAATTTGTGTTGCAGGTAGAGTGGGTGGAAATTCGTCCCAGCACTGCTGGCGATTCCAAGTATGCTGCAGGCCGAAACATCAAAGTCGCCGTAGACTTTCGGCAGTTGCAGTTATCGCAAGATGCTATTCCTGGCCGTGCAGCTTGTGCGGTTGCAGTACATGTAGTAACCCTATGCTGAAGATGAGTTCAAGCAGGCTACAACTATGACTCCGAGGACTAGTGCCGCTCTTAAGATCTAGCTCGTCTAAAGAGATGTCCCTGGTGAGGATGAAGGCTTCGGGCCCATGCCGGCGACACAGCAGGCTGGGATGCTCGTTGGAGTGTGCCCAGATCCAATTCCTTCCCTTCGAAGGAGCTCCTCAACAACATGTCTCAGAGCAAGGGCTCCTACGGAGGCATGCGAGCCTTTTCACCGAGACTTCTGCATTCGCGCATGCAAGGAAAAAGAGCCTTCGCGCGCCTTCGCTGCAGGCTACCTGCTCCCGGGAGAGGGAGATGCCATGGCCGAGTGTGGCTCCCGGAGGGACTGAAGGTTTCTGTCTTCGGCGCACCGAAACTTTCGCCAGGTATGTGAAGAGCGGCATGCGAATCCCTCGTCGAGGAGAGGTGGGCATCACAGCCGACCAGATTGAGAACCTCGAAGACCTGGGTTATGCCTGCTCCCCGATCTGCATTCACATTGTAGTAAAAGGAAAGAGAAGCAGCTGGGGCGTTCGAGGTCATGAGCGGATCCAGGCACCGGCGAATGAATGCCGTGCGTATCCGAAAGGACAGCAGCAAAGTTACACACAGGCAAAGAAGGTTGATGAGACAGCGTGTGCACAGTCCGATTCAGTATCGCAGCTTCCTTTCAAGCACTGTCCTGCAGGCAGGCATCCACGTGCACGCGCACGCGTTTGTGCATGCACGAGCACGCACGTGCACACACATGCACGACCCAAGCGACATGCAAAAAACACAAACACACACACACACACACACACACACACACACCCACACCCACACCCACACCCACACCCACACCCACACCCACACCCACACGCACACACACACACACACACACACACAGAGAGAGAGAGAGAGAGTCTTTGCATTTTCGAGCCCGCCGTTTGCAGGAGAACCAGGTTTACTCTGCCGAGGAGAAGCGCGCGCTTGCCATG